AAAGAATTCCAGGCAGAATGGGATTCTTGGTCTTTGAAGTGGGATCCAGAAATTGAGAGATTTGTAAAATATAGAAATGCAGATAAATTTCACTAATATGTAACTCTACATCAGACAATGGTTATTAAGGCAAAAACTGTTTCAAAATAAAACAGAATCACAGACTTTTGAGTGCCGGCAGGTCATGGGAAATCATTCAGCATTCCACAAACACGCCCAGAGAGCCCGTCTTGGGCCAGGCGAGGGTCGGGCATTACACGAAAGGAATAAGCTTTCCTTTGCCCTCGAGACCTTACGGATGGAAAACAGACTACAAAATCAGTATCTATAACAAAGATGAGATAAGCTACTTGAGGAGAGGCACAAAATGCAGGACGGTGATTAAAAAAAAATTAGGTCCCTTCATTCTGAGAGGAGGATCCCGATTTCCTAAACACTTCCAAAGAAATCCAGGAAGAGTCAAAGATTAAGAGACCTTGTAAAGCACCGTCCCCGGCCACACGCATTAGCCTACGCCATTCTAAGCACCGTGGGCGCCCACGAATGTGCACACCGCGGGGACACCCGCCCAGTGCTGCGGGACTGTCACCGATAGAGGTCGCGCGCCCAAGCCCATCTACGGAAGTCCCGCCCCCATTTCCGGCGGCGGAGAATGGGGCGGGACTAGCGGCAGCTTCCGTCTTGCGCAGTGTCGAGGTTGCGGCACGTGTGTCGCCCCCTTCGGATTCCTGGGTTACCCTTTCCCCTCGTGAACTTGTCGCGCAGAGACTCCTTTCCCATTTGAAGGATGAAGGCGGTAAGCGTCCGCAGAAGCCCAGCCCTCGCGGTTTAGGGCCCCTTTGGCTGATAGAGTCGCTTCCTGGTATAGCTGTCGGGCGGGTTGTCGCCTTTGTTTAGGGGGCGGTGGCCTAGATTCAGAGCTGCCTCTTGGCTCTGTGCGCTGTCCACTTCCTGGCCCTTAGAACTGGCTCTTTCTTCATTGTCCACTATGCTCGCACTCGGCTTCATGAGGTACGATGAGGCAAGCACCAGGCAAGCACCGAGTCTTGCATCCCTAGGATGTCAGACATTGAAGGATTCTTCAAGACCATTTTTCGAACCCCTTTTTTTTACAAATGAGAAACAGAGTCCTTTTCTCAATTAGTTTATAGTATTAGTTATGGGACCCGAGACGAGTCAGTTTTTCTCCCTAAAGGGTAAGGAGATAGGAAAAGCAAGTGATCTGTTCCAATTCTTACAGAAAATTAGAGCTACTCCTAGGATTTGGATATTTGAATGAGAGGTCACCAGCAAGAGAGTTGGAATTCAAAGACCGGCATTCAGTTTTGTCTTTCTTAGTTTAAAGGTCTTTGACAAGTCAACATAATCTCTCAAAGCCTTAGCTTCATCAGTGATGTAGGATAACGGCAATCACTGCTTAACTAGGCTGTTAAGTTATTCTGGAACACTTTGTAAACGGTAAGACAATATAGAAATGTCAGTTGTTATCGTTAAAGATAGCTAGCGTTTTGCTCTGAGTATGCTAAACTGTAGATGATAAGCAAGCCTTGAATAACCATTTACCACTAGATGAATGGTTCTTAACTTTTTTGGGGGGAGGCGGGGGGTGGGTAGTGTCTTAGACCCTTTTGAGCAGCTGTGGATTTTGGTCACAAGACGATCCTGGGTTGGATAACTGATGCTCTAGTGCCATTCTTTAGTTAATGCCTTAGTTTGGTTTTAGCTCTTAAATGCAAGATCCGTGGCTGTGAAACATTACAGTGGTGGAATTGGTGTAGTGAAATTTATAATCAATTCTCTTTACTCTGGTTTTGAAAGTAATATACATTTCTGGGTGTGCCTCATTCCTACTGTTGTTTTACAGAGAAGAAACAAAAAACAGGTCCCAAGCTTTCGGAAGTTGATAAAAACTAGTAAAGTCAAACTTGAAAACAAGCTAAAAAATAAGCAATTTAAACAACAAAGCACTATCAAGAAGTACCGAAAAGAACAGAGGAAACTAAGGCAAGCTGTAAAAGATGCTGTATCTAAGAAACCCATTTCACTGGAGGATCCAAAGGAAAAACAACCAGGTAATTATGAAAGTATTCACATGCTGTAATTTCCATTGATTTGTTCCAAAATGTTCTTCATGAAATAACTGCTTTCTAGTAATCACTCTTGTTCTCAGATCTTCCTGAGAGTAGCTAAGGATAGTAGTTCTATATACTTTATTATAGTCAATATGAGAAAACATTTCAGTACAGTAATCATTGTGAGGAAGGGCTAGCTTCTGCTTTTAGTTCGTCTAGAAAGCAGATCTGAAGATACTGTACTTGGGAATACAAACTCAGAATAGCCCTGTAAATAAATGTTGGGCAGAATGCCAGGGCTTCCACTTTCCCATTCACTGGCAGTTTGCTAAGGTAAGAACATTGCTTTTCTCTGGTGCGTTCTTCACAGTGTTGCCACAATTCATTTAGTATTCTAAAGGTCTGGCTTTCTTTTCACTTGGAAACTTGGAGTGAAATTGAGCTGTAATTGTCAGGGTTATTTTGTAAAACTATCCAAGAACTCTCAATATTCAAAACAGTTAAGAAATAAGACCATTTAGAGTCAGACCAGTTCTTTACAATGTTACAGGTACTTTTAAAGTAGTCATATTTAACTGGATCTGACTATTCAGTCTTCCCACGTCCATCTCATTTCCTTAATGCTGACCTATTTATTTGATCTCTTGGCAACATATAAAAAGTCATTGGACTGGAAGTCCGGAAACTTGGGCTTTTTTCTTGATTTTGTTACTTAATAGTAACGTGGCCTTAGACTGTCACTTAATCTGCAGGAATTTAATCTGCAAAAAAATGTGATGGTTGTGTTACATACCTTTAAAGATCTCTTCCATCTAAATTTCAGCAGAATTTAAAAAGCATGATGTTAATAATTATATATTAAAAATAAGCAAAAGATTTCATTCTTACATGTTGCAGTCCATCAGGTGTTTGTATATAGCTATATAATTTTAGTGAAAGATCTGGGTTAGAGAATAATTTTGCGAATTATCAGCATGCAGATGGTAATTGAAGCCTTAGACTTGAGTAAGATCACTGTGGAGACTGTGTTGTATGAGAATTACAGAATCTAGAACAGAATTTTTTTTTAAAATGCGTACGGCACCTGTAGAACAGAATTTTAAGGAACCCCAGCATTTAAGAAATGAGTGGAGGAAAAAAACTTGAGGTACCAGAGAATTAGGAAGAAAGCCAGAATTGTGCAGTGTGTTAGAAATCAAAAGAAGAGAGTTTCAAGAAAGAAGGAAACTACGTTCTAATATGAGAGTCTACAAAATGGTTAATTAAAACGTGAAAAATAGTGTGCATTGAAGCTTTCATCCACTTGCAATTATAGGCTATCACTGCATGTCTGATATGCTTACATCTTTGAATTAAAAAGGCAATATAATAAACTAATAAACATGTAAACCGTGACAGGAAGGAATAAAAAAAAAAAAAGAAATGCACTTTACTTTGACCCAGCAATACTACTGCTAGGAATTCTATGATTGTATTTGAAAAAATTTGCTAAGAATATATATGCCCAAGCATGTTCATTGCAACACTGTTAAAATCGCAAAAAAACAAAACAAAACAAAAGAAAAGCTACCACCACCACCAAAACCTGAAAATAATCAAAATGTCCAACAAAGAATTGTTAAAATAAATGTTATATTGTATATAGATGTTGGAATACTATACAGCTATTAAGACAGATGTAGAGCTATTTTCTCATAATACATAAGGTCTGTGCAGCAAATGATATGATTATTATCACTTCCTACTTCACATTTTTTAGCAGCTACCTATTTTTGTCTTGAATGGAAGTTTATTTAACCAGTAATAGAGTCATACCTTGAAATGTGAGTAGAAAAGTTCACCGAAAGGAGAATTTAAATTTAAATTTTGTCAAGATACTGGCAAATTGCCCACTGGAAAATGACGTGACCATCTTAAAATGCTAATATGAAGAAGTCAGTAGATTGAAGAGGTTGAAGATACAGGGGAAAGAAGGCTTAAATGATAGAACAAGGCAAGAGAAGCAAGAGTTTTTGAGATCCAGAGCACAAGAGGAGAGGTATCTCTTTCAATGTTATGAGAAGGGAAAAGGAAAATGCATACAAATGCTGTTAAATTCAGTGTGAGAAATTGAAGGTGTTTCTTTCTACCTTATAGCTTTTCTTTTCTCAGTGACTTGGGAAGCTAAGTCCTCTCATGATTATGAAGTGAGGTGGATGATGGGATTAGAAGTGTGATGATAGATGCAGTATTTGAAAAGGCACCCTAGGGCAGAGAGAAAGTTGACCAGGAAAATAATTGCTGGTCGGTTTTGAGAAATGGCAGGCTCATTTAAAGTAGATTGGTGTTCTATTCTGTGCAGTGTGTACATTTATGTAGCACTATTTATAAGTATTGTTGGAGTCAGGGAGAATTATAAGTTCTGTTAGGGAAGATGCTAAGATTGTCTTGTTCATGGTTGAATCCTCAGCACTTAGGACAGTGTTTGACACTTAGTTGGCATTCTTTTTTTTTTTTTTATTAAAAAAAGGAGACAGAAAGAGCAAGGGACAGAGAGAGAAGGTAGAATAATCCATGGTTGGGGTTTTTCTGGAAGCGTATGTCTAAACTGTAGAGGGAAAGTAGTTGAGGATATCGGCAAGAGGGTGGTCGAAGTGATAACCATACAATCTAAACGAGGGAATGAAGATAGAACACATTAGTAGATAGAAGGTAAAGTGGTCAAAGGATTGAAAATCTGTTTGGTTAAAGAAGTGCAGCAGAAGTAACTAGATGAGAGCTGGAAGGACAAAAGGTTGTGGGCAGAGAGTGGGGTGAGCACCAAAGTTTGGGATGTGGCCCTTGGAGGGGTGGCTGGGTGGAATGAAAATGAACATCATTGAAGGTCAGATGGAGCTCAGGGGCAAAGTCATTGGTTCTCAAATGCTCTGAAAGATAGTGTAGGTTGTATGGAGACGTTTGCTTTTTGATCGTTACAGTGACCTGGGAGTGCTCCTGGCATTTAGATTTCGGGAGTCAGAGATGCTAGCATTTTGCCTAGCTCAGGAAACCCTAGCTCAGGAAACCCTGGTACAACAAAGCATTGTCCTGTCCAACGTGCAAGTTGTGCTCTAATTTAGAAACACTGGGTTGAGGTATTAGAAACATAAGCTTTTCCTATTGTAGATACAAAAATGCAGAGTTCTCCGTCTCTGATACTTGTTTTTGATTTTTTTTCTTTTTTGTGGAACAGGTAAAAGGATTGAGAGGAAAGAAGAGGAAGAAGAAGAAGAAGCCCTTCCTTTAGATATGTTGGATGAAGATGACTTACAGTTAATGAAGGATTTAGGCCAAAGAGCATCTTTTCTAACCAGAGATCTTTCTTCTAGGTAATACTTCATTTAGATTATTTACTTACATCTTTTCAGTGTTAAAAACTTGGTTTTGAATTTTACTTAGGTGGTTAGTGCAAGACTTCAGCTCTGAACACAGTGTTTACAAAGAGTAAACCCTATTATTTATTTCCTAAATAAAAGAAGTTCATGAATAAAACAAGCTGATTTTATTTAGTGTACATCTTTATTTCTTTTGAGTTTGAATAGTGAAGTAGAGTGAATGGGGAAGAATGCTGTTCTTTGTTTCAGGAATTGGTGGAACAGTCCTGAATTCTTTATGGCTATGACCTCAGTTACCCTATTAGGTAGATATTATTTCCATTTATGGAGAGGAAACTGATATTCCCCCACAATCTCAAGTAGTGGATCTAAAGTTTAAACTTAGATGTTTTTAACTCCTAAATTCATGCTATGCTCTGAAGGTTTTTGAGCACCCAAAATAGCATGTCACCCTTGGTTCTGTGGAATACTCTTCAAAAAGATTCTGCTGTTACTTTCACATTTATTTTGCATCTAAAGAGAAAGCTATTAGCCATAGTTTGAGTCTTTGTGGCAGACTATACAATTCATTTATTCATTTACTATTTGAGTGCCTGCTGTGTACTGCGTCCAGGTGCTATTATCTATGTATATATTGAAGGTCTGGCTAGTGGTTTATTTTTCTGTGTTTTAAAAATGAAGATCTCTAGGTTCCTTTTTGTTATATTAAAACTGAAAATTAATTTTGTTTTCTGCAGTGAGCCTGTCCATGCCAAGAAACGAAAGCATGAGCATGTTATAGATAAATATGAAAAAATACCAAGAACTCTGCAGTATGCACCAGAGAAGGAATTGATTCACTTGCTTCCTATCAAAGACAAAAGTGGCATAATCCCACAGACGAGGGAGAAGCCAGGTGAATCTGATCAGCCTGTGTATTAAAATTTAAGGTCCTTAATAATATCTTTTACAAATTGAATTTTATTTTGACTTTTACCCATATCTATGAAACAGGGATAGCAACAAATAGTCATCTGGCAAGCTTGATGATTTTGGCGAGAAATACTGTTGATTATCTCAGGTGTCTGTTGTACTGCGAGCACAACTGAAACTACAGGGTTTAGGTGATTTTTTTTTTCAGGGTATTTCACCAAATTTTGTTGTTTCTAAAATTACAGCATATTAGTTTTCTTTTGTTAGGCCTTTTTTCTTACATGTGCCTTTTGTGAAATAAAACACAGAAAAGTTTAGAAATCAAAGATATGAAATTATATGGTTTGTTATAAAAAACACACCCTTAAAACCACCATTTGGGCAAGGAACAAATACTTCCAGCACCCAGAAACGTCCCTTGTGCTCTCCTGAATCACTAATTGCTCCCTCCTCAGTAACCACTTTCCTGAGTTTTATGTTAATCACTTCCCTGCTTTCCTTTGTAGTTTCTCCACTTAAATATATTGTCTCATTTTTTGATATACACATTTTTCAGTTATTGACTCTAATCAAGATGAAGAGGATCAAGAAGAGCCGGAACTTGAGCAAGGTAATGGGATACATCTTTATAGGTACTAAATTGTTAATTGAGAATTAACATTTTTTGCATAATAGTAAATGTGAGTTAATTTTAGATAAAATCGGAATGTGCATTTTGGAATACTGGTCATTTCAAGGTCATTTGGAACATTTTCTTACATTTTGAAACTTCTACATTGTGCAATTTGTTGCTTTTTATTATGGAAAAATTCATGTACTTATATTTGTAATGTGTAGGCATGCATGAAGGTCTTGTGTATTGTTACTATTTTGAATTCTTTTAAATCGTAAGTGAAGGATCTGCCTACAAATAACTATTATACCTGTTTAGCTTAAATTACAAAAATGATTCTGTGCTATGAAATCATTTTGGTTCTTAGAGCAGTTGTACTTTGTATGTGTGTTTTAGATCATTAAATGTGGTTTTCTAGATGGCACAGTTCTGATCAACATTAAATTGAAAGAACATATTTTATTGTTTGAAACTGTGTGCTTTGGAATTTCTGAAAGAACAAACTGGTTGAATTTTACTTCTGCGTAGGAAACCTCATTAATAGTGTAAATTAGGTTATAGGTCAACTATTTTAGTTTTCAGTCATCCTTCATAGGCTTATTGCAGATTATGCTTGTGTGCTTATTAAATCTAGTTCCCTGGGAATTTCTTAAGGTAAACATTTTGTATAATTCAAAGCACTGATGTTTTGTGTAGTTCAAAGGACTGTATAGAATTGAAAACAGAATATTCTGTACTTAAAAAAACAATCAGAGTCTACGGCCATGCCACCCCGAACATGCCCGATCTCATCTGATCTCGGAAGCTAAGCAGGGTTGGACCTGGTTAGTACTTGGATGGGAGATCACCTAGGAAGACCGGGTGCTGTAGGTGTTAAAAAAAAAAAAAAAAAAAAATCACAACAGCTTTCCCTTAATTAATATGAATTATTGTGGGTTTATTAGCCTAGTAGTTAAGAATATGAACTCTAGAGTCAGACTGCCTGGGTTTAAATCCCATTTCTGCCAGTTTTATGAGCCTAGGCAGTTACCTTCTCTTTGCCTCAGTTTCCTTATCTGTAAAATGGGGTTGTTCATAGTACATGTCTCATGATTATTGAGAAGATTATATGAATTATGGTTCTTGGATACTTGTAAATAAAGGAATGTTTAAGAGAGAAAACCTAATCTGTTTTAGAGATCGTTGAAGATCCCATTCGAGAGCTGACCATAGAAGAACATTTACTTGAGAGAAAGAAGAAACTTCAGGAGAAGAAATTGCATATTTCAGCCTTGGCATCTACCATATTATCAGATCCAGAAAGCAATGTAAGTAGTATTAATTTCTTTAGGTTCTTTACATTAGATGTGGTCCAAATGTCTAATATTTTAAGATTCTCTTGTTAATTATAAGTATACACAAAAAAGAAAAGCATTAGCAAAATACTGTAACTGAGTTAGAATAAGAGAGTAGATAGAACCTTAGCGTAATTCTACTTCTGAACATAATTTCTTCTATAATCTAAGAAAAGTCTCTTAAATGCTGAGTCTTTAAATGAAGATATTGGGCTTAATGTTGTAACTCTAAAAGTGATAAGTCTATAAAATTAATTATACTAGGGAGGAGGAACCTACTTGTAAATTTGCTTGACTGATCTGTAGAGTTTTTAGTAAGGAATGTGCTACACAATAGTCGGTGAGATTAGTCCGGAATACTTGCAAGTGGAAAATATTTTAAGTGAAATAGGCTAGAGAGTAACAATGAATTATAGTGCCGTGCGTACAATAGTGAAGGTGGTGATGATTATAATGTGGACTCAAGAAACTTGAGATTTAGTCTTGGCTTTGCTACATACTATTTGTTAGACTTTAGGTAAGATTTTTACCGGAGGCTCGTTTTCTTCATTCCTAAAAAGAGATGGGACCTGTTTTAAAACTGTTGTGAGGCTTAAATGATAGTAGTATACATGAAGTCATATAGAGTCATACTGTTATTTTTGTTAACTTTGTGTCCCGAGCATCCTACTATGACAAATATTTGTTTACTGAACAATAAAATAGATTGTTTACATTTATAGAAGAAATTTCGTGTGGATATGCTTTGGAGCGGCATTTGTCCTTTTCTAACAAAGTGAGGGGAAGATCTGGAGCAGAATTGGGGAGGGGAATTTGGAATATTTCTCACCTGTATTATTGCACTTAATCATTATAAAACCACAAAGACTAGAGCTACTGATCTCATTTTACAGCTGAAAAATTGAGCCTTTAAAAACTCAAGTGATTTGTTTCAGATTTTAACAGCCACTGTATTGAAACCCAGGTCTTCTACTCTGGAGCCTCATGCTCATTTCATATAAGTTAAGGACAGCAAATAGGTGGTGACATACTTGTTCTCTCCCTGTTATGACAAACATTGCTAATCAACTAATGTTGCTTCTCAAGATACTGTTCCAGCAGGCAATAGTAGCTCATCAAAGCAAGCACGTTAGTTTAAGCCAATTTTCTACTTCTGCATTGTATCATACAAATGATCTTTGTATGAGTAACTTTGAAGCTAAAGTTAATGTGGATACATTATATTAATTCCTGATTAATTTATATACATGTGATTATATTTTGATTGGAATATATAGCATTAATATGTGTCAGTAAGTCTTTTTAGGGAAATAGGCTACACATGCTTTAAGAAAACCCAATTAAAAAAATTTTCTAAAAATAGGTATATTAACAAATTTAAGCTGTTTTTTAAGTCTATATCTTTTCTACTAATTTAACAAAATTTTTATTAATTTATAACTTTAGCGATTTACCTGTTGGTAACAGGGGCTGTGTCTGGAGTTGTGAATGGCTTGACTAGACTCTATGAGTCATTGTGTGAATTTCACCTATAGTGCTTTTGCTCATAATTGTTTTGCTGTGATTTTCTAGCCTTATAAGTTATTTCTTTAACAGATTAAAAAATTGAAAGAATTACGTTCCATGCTGATGGAACAGGATCCTGATGTGGCTGTTACTGTTCGAAAGCTGGTGACAGTTTCTCTGATGGAGTTGTTTAAAGACATTACTCCTTCATATAAAATCCGGCCTCTAACAGAGGCAGAAAAGTCTACCAAGGTATGCGAAACATAATTACTATACAAAATAAGCTGAAAATTTTGGAGAGCTAGAGATGGGAGAAATAATAGAGTTTTTTTTGTTTGGTTGTTTTTACATGACTGTATATACTGGGTATTCCTATTTTGCACTAAGTTTTGAATTTCAGTATTTTGATGTTGAAAAGTGATTGATTTTTTGGTCTTTTCAGATCCGTAAAGAAACCCAAAAGTTAAGAGAATTTGAAGAAGGCCTGGTTAGCCAGTATAAATTTTATTTGGAAAATCTGGAGCAAATGGTTAAAGGTATATTAAACATACCATAAAAGCATGTAACATACTTAGCTTTGGTCAGGAAGGTGAATTCTATATTCTGTGCTGTGTGTTGACTGTCATAATGTATGGTCAGGAGCGGAGTCTAGAGTTAGATTTCCCAGGATAGTCTAACTACCCATTAACACATATGTGTTAGGTACGTCACTTAATCTCTCTTTGTCTCAGTTTTTCTCTCTCTAAAATGGGAATAATAGTACTTACCTCATTAGATTGTTGTGTAAGAAGTAAGTGAATTTATAGATGTAAAGCACTTAGAACTATGCCTAGCCTGTATTAGGCACTATGTTTTACCAGTTATTAGTATTGTTGCTACCTAGTTCTTAGTTGTATGTTTCTTAAATTTATGAATGGTTGGAATTCTATTTTTGGAGGGAGTAGTCAGGGGAGAAGGATGGCTTGTCACAAGTGCTTTGAAGATAGCTTACAAGGCAGTTATTCAGGCTGAGAAACTCTTCTGTCAAACCCTTGTTCTCTTTTTCTTTGTTCAGAAAAGGAAGGCTATAGGAAAAATTTAGACATGATTGGGGAAGGGGTTCAGTTTCCTAGGCTAGGTGCTTTCACTAACTCGGTGGGCTCCTTTGCTTAGTGTTGGGCCAAAGGATCACCTTGTTGCCTTCTCAGCTGGAACAGGTCTACTGAATCCTATTGGCCCAATAAAGGCATGGAGGTGGTAGCGCATGGAAGTGGTGGGTGTGTGGCATGGGTATTGCTTCTAAGTTCCGATATCTCAGTTGGAACTTGCTAGCATTTATTCTCCCAGGGATAAGTCCTAGGAGCTTTGTGTAGACCAACACTATCACTAGAAATATAATGAGACATACAAGTTATTTAAAAAAATGTAGCCACTCTCAGAAAAAAGTAAAAAGGAAGAAAATTAATTTTAGCAGTAAATTATATATGTCTAATTTATCGTTTTAACATATAATCAATTTTTAAAATTAGTGAGATAGTTTACAGTTTTTTGTACTAAGTTCAAAATCTGGTGTGTATTTTATACGTCTAGCACACATGAACTTGGACTAGTCACATTTCAGGTGCTCAGTTGCCACGTGTGCCAGTGGCGTCTGTATTGGACCATGCAGGTGCAGATCTTTTCTAAGTGAATTGAACCACTATGAACTCTCCAAGTTTTAAAATAAATCATGGTAAAATATAAATAACATAAACTTTATAATTTTAACTATTTTTAAGTGAATAATTATGTGACATTAAGTAAATTCACATTGTTGTACAACCATCGCCACCTTCCATCTCTGGAACTTTTTCATCTTCCCCAACCAAAATTCTGTGCTTATTAAACATTAACTCCCCATTACCTCTCCCGGCCCTCCAGCACTTGGCAGCCATCGTTCTACTTTCTGTCTCTATGAATTTGACTATCCAGGAATCTCATATAAATGGAATCATAATATTTGTCCTTTTGTGACTTCCTTATTTTATTTAGCATGAGATCTTCAAGATTCAGCCTTGTTGTAGCATATGTCAGAATTTCCTTTCTAAGATCAAACAATATTCCATTGTATGTATATATACCACGTTTTGTTTACCCATTCATCTGTCAATTATGTCTTGTCAGGTTTAAGTAACTAGAATATATGGTTCTTATTTATGGTGAACACAGTCTGTTTAGGGAAATATTATATGTATCAGAAGCAGGTTTTAAAATAAAGGTACTATCCATATTATCTTTCTCACCTCTGGCTTTATTGTAGAAGGAGATGTTGAACCTGCTGTGGAGAGACTAGCATATTTTCATATTCTCATATTCAACATGCCATGTTACAGTAACATTGTATATGTAGAAATTTCTAGAAAAGAGGTATTATGAATCATCAATTATTTTGAAGGAGAATTTTAATTTCTTTTGGACCTTCTGGGTGAAGATACCACAGTGAGCATCAGCAGGAAAAATGTTTTGGATTCTTGGGATTTTTGAAACATGAAATAGTCTGGGGCTCAGAGAGTTTAGGATTTCCTCATATTCACCAGCCAGTTAGTGGGTGACTAGGATTTGAATCCAGGCTCTTGACTTATAGTTGAGTGTTTTGGGGACAGCCTTGGTAGAGCGCAGTGCAAGGACTCCTTAGAGGTATCCAGCTCCCTCTCCCCTCCTTCCTCCTTTTAATCTAATGATTTAGCTCTTAAAACATACAGAAAACCAAGATTCTGGTAATTGTGGTTAGAGTCAGAGGGTGAATGGTATAGAAAAATTTTAATGATAACCTTCGTTCTTGTTTAAGTATAGATACAACTCCTTGTATCTATACTATTGAAGAATTTGCATGGTGTGTTGAGTTTTCATATTATCACATTACTGTAACAGAAAGATAATTAGTTGAAGTATTGACCAACGAGTAAAATAACTAGTTACAATTATCTTTTGACTAGACTGGAAGCAAAGGAAGCTGAAGAAAAGTAATGTAGTTTCGTTAAAGGCATATAAAGGACTGGCAGAAGTGGCTGTGAAGAGCCTGTGTGAGCTGTTGGTGGCACTACCTCATTTCAATTTCCACAACAACATCATTGTATTGATTGTCCCTCTCATGAATGATGTGTCAAAATCGGTGGGTTACTCTTAATGATCGTGGCTTTGTGCTTAACAGAAACTTAAAAACAGAAAATTCCTTTGGAGCTGTTATTTATTGTTAAAATCTAAAATAAATTTGTTAATTTGTTAAACATTGTCTCTTTAAGAAAATTATTTGACTGTAAGTTTAGTGCATTGTTTTGAACAGGGGGCAATTTTGTCCTGCAGGGAACAGTAGGCTGTGTTTACAGACGTTTTTTATTGTTACTACTATAGTGGTGGGGGTGTGTTACCACTGGCATCTAGGTGGTAAAGGCGAGGCTTCTAAATGTCCTACAATGCACAGGACAGCCCCCCACAACAAAGAATCATCTGGTCCCAAATGTCGGTAGTGCTAAGTTTGAGAAACACTGGTTTAGTGTAACATTTTATTTTTCAGATATCTGAAATGTGTTGTGAGGCGGTAAAGAAACTCTTTAAACAAGATAAATTAGGCCAAGCTTCTCTTGGTGTAATTAAAGTGATTTCTGGTTTTGTGAAGGGCAGAAATTATGACGTTAGGCCAGAGGTAAGCTTGTCTTTTTTTACTTTGCATTGTATTTGTTTTTAAATTATTAAGTTAATTTTTAGTTGTCATGAGGAATTTATTCTTATAGAAGTGTACAAAGTAGAAAGGGAAAATACTCAGTTCTCCAGATGTAAACTTCTATTTAGTCATATGCTTTTGATTGTTAAACTGATATTTTTCTCTTTACAGTTTGATTTGTATCCTAGATGGTTTTCTATGCAGATATAGATTTATTTTAAAATAAAAATAGTTTTATGTTGTGGGAATTATTCTGGATCTTTTCATTTTATGTATTGTGGACTTAAGTATAGGGCTATCCCATTCTTTTGAATATCTACCTTAGTGTTCCATTATGTGAATATATAGCTTCCTACTTGATGGACAACCGAGTTGTTTGTAGATTTTTGCTATTGTAGTCAGCATGGAAGAGAACATTTTGGCCATATTATTTTTTCATGCTTGTGTGAGTATTTTGTGAGGTAAATTTCTAAGGTGTAGGTACTGGATCCAATGGAATACACATTTAAAAACTTGAGAGAGAATGCCAAATTTTTCTCCAAAAACATTTTATCA